AAAATATTATTTTATCCCCATTGACCATTTTGTCCCTCATACTACAAACATTCTTACTATTTTACTGTTCTTTGAATATAGCAATTAGTAGTTCCTCCGGCCTTCTTTGTCCGTGGTTTTGCTTTGAATGGTTTCATTTACCTGCAGTCAACTGTGGTATGGAAATATTAAATGGCAAATTCCAGGATTAAACCAAGAGACAGTATTTACATATTTTTTATTACAGCATATTAAAATTGCTTTATTTTATTTTCAATCTGTGCCAAATTTACAAATTGAACATTATGCTAAATATATATATGTATCATCACATGTGTAAGGTCTGGTTCTCTCTGTGGTTTCGGGTGGCCACAAGGGGTGGCTTTTTAAACACATACCCGGTGATGGGGGTGACTGCCGTATGCTCTGCCTCAGTGTCTTTTATACTTTATTTTCCTGGTTTGGAAAACTTTCCTGAGGTCTGCATGATTTTGATTTCCTTGCCTTAGTTCTCTGATCAAATTTCACTTATCAGCAGGGTCATTTGTTAACCATCAGGTATAAATGGGAAGTTGGTAGTGAAAGGAAGGTTGTTGCCATCCCTTTCTTAGTTACCCTAATTTATTTTCATACTTGAAATTATTTGACATACTATGTACTCACTTCTATATCTTTTATTTTTAGTATCTCTTTACTAAAACATTAATTCCATGGGCCATTTGTTTTATTTTTTTTCACTGCCTTATCTCTAGTCTCTAGGGCAATACCTACCTTAGTAAGTGCTCAATAAATAGTGTGTGTTAAATGAACCATGGATTAACGTATCAGGTATGCTGCCTGTTTTATTATTTTAGCAGCTACTCTTTCAATCTGAGGACTCTGTTTAATTCTAAACCATTCTAGCAATTTCTTCCACACATAATGCTTTATCTTTCATTCTGTTATTTTTATTTCTGGAATGTTTAGGGTCTCTTAGAATTTCTGAGTGGAACCTGTATGTCTCAACTGTGCTGTCATGTTTTAAAACTCATTTTTCTGTGCAGTGTACTAGACGAATATTTCATTAGTGCTTTCATGTCATTAATTATCTGTGTCTAGTTTTAGGTTTTTGCTTCAGTGATTATAAATAAAATTTAAGATCTTTAATAATTTTTTTACATCTACATGCCCTTGCTTTATTTTTTTTTTTTTTTGTATTTTTCATTGATTTTTTGTTTTTGAGCACTTTTAACTTATTTTAAAGGTTTCTTTTTCAGTGTGTTGTGTTACTTCCATTTTGTTCTGAGAATTGCAGCTCCTGATTATTGAGGTCATGTGTGGTGTATGTGGGTTCTAATGTTTTGGGTTATTTTCATTGTGGTCACATCTTGAGAGGTAAGTTTCCTCTTTCCCTGTGAATCTTCTTTGTCTGATTCATTTTTTTCTCTAAATGTTGTGATTGCCACTGATGTGTCAGCATCACCTCGTCTTCATTCCTGAAATGTTTTATATCTGTAATTTGGGGCACTTTGCCAACAGTGACTTGAGGCAGTATAAGGAGAGCCTGAGCTGCACAGTATTAGAGTCCAGTTTCTTTCTCTCTCTGTCTCTCTTTCCTTCCCTCCTCTCTCTTTCTTTCTTTTTTTTAAGGCAGGCTGGCCTTGAAGTCTTGGTCACTAGGTAGCCCAGGCTGGCCTTGAACTGATGGTGATTCTCCCAGCCTCCTGTGTGTGTGCTGGGATTATAGGCATGTGTCACCACACCTGACTTTAGATGCCAATTTCTGATTGGGATGCAATGTCTGTAAATTTTTGCCTTAGACTTTCTCATAGTCCTTAGTTTCTAGCGAGGGTAGGCAGAAGCTTTTTCCAGTCTCCTTTCATGAGTTTGGAGCCTCATCCTCGTGTTGGTTTCAAACACTGAGCCTGGTGTGGAAACACATGAGCAAGGTGCTTTTATTCCCAGTGACCTAAGGCCAAGCTCCTTCCCACCTTTCAGCCTGGGCCTGGGCCTAGCGGATAGCACGTAGCCTTCCATTCTTTGTATTTCTGCCTCATTTGTGACTCTCACAGACAAAGCTATGTTTCTTACACGTTTTTCTATTAATACTGTGTATTTAGAGAATAGAGAACCTCAAGTGTGAGCTTATGCTAATTTATTAGAATTTAAATATTTTTATAAATTGTTATACCTCCTCACCTTATCTCTTATAACCAGTTGTATGCTTTTATGATTGGTTTTCCTTCTGATATCCCTTTTGTGTTTCCTAAGGCATTTGCTGCATTTTTCTTTAAGGGAAGATTACCCCTTCCTTATCTGTAAATTCTGTGACACACGGCTGATTTAGGTACACATTCTTATTTCTTTTACCTATTTTTAAAGTGTTTTACATCTGTGAATCTGCTTCTAGTAAATTTCTCCCCATTCGTGATATAAAGTAACCAGTGTCATTCTGAATGTAATCGCTTCAGACCTTTGTTCTTTTCCCTTCTCCTTTCTTATTTAAAGCTATATTTGTTTATTTTTAGAAGGCAGTCAGTTTTACATGTTATGACTTCACCAGAGACCTGTGGTTTGAATATGCAGCTGTCCCGCAGTTTAGGTAGTAGTATTCTCAAAGACTAGAAATGTGTAGGAAAGTGTGAGAAGTCCAGAAATTCTAATCATAGAATATTGTTTATAATGTATCACTGATTCTCTCATTTTTGAAACTGTTATTTAAAAAATGGTAATATTTAGTCCATAATCTAATTAATTTTATTTACAAAGAGTTTGCATTGGCAAGAATGTTTTTGTTAATTATGTTAAAAGTGATGGCATAGGTCATTGCAATCAAGGCTAAGTTGTGTTTTACAGTTTTTGAATTGTATATCTAAATCTAATAAACTGTACTGTTCTGTTACTATGAGGTTGTCTTCAGTTATAAGTTGCTGTCACTTGCTATATGGTTTGTGATTAATTCAGAAAGGGCTGTCAACCCAAAATGATATAATTATTTGCATTTTAAAGTTATATTCATTATTGGGATGTAACATTCAAAGGATTAGGCAGCAGTTATGACTAATAAACTGTCTATATGTTTGTTTCTAGAGAAAAACAGAAATCTGAAGCTAAAGACAGAAAAGTTCTAGAAATTTTGCAGGTCAAGGATGCAAAAATACAAGAATTGCAACAGGTTTGTGTTATAATAAAAATATTAAAATACTTTTTACAATAATATTCTTTAAGAGTATTGTGGTTGTGTTAAAGCATTACTATTTTGAAATCACTAGAGTCAGTCTGTTCATTATTATACTTTGCTTACAGCGTGTTTGTTTTCTGAATTAGTAGGCTTTGATATTTGCTCACTAAAACTTATGGTAATGTTATAGTTTAATAACTATGTTAGTCATTGTTTGATTATTAGCAATTATCATTTCCTTTTTAAATTTGTAGAAAAGTAAAAAATAATGAATAATTTGATTTTATCTTTTGAAAATAGTATTTTTGAATTATATAATCATCTCACACCTAATCAGTAAATTATCAAAGTATATATAATATATAACTACATAATAGTTTATACAAAATTATATACAGTCATATAATCAGTATGTTATGGTAGCAGTATAAGTGGCCTGTGCTTTCAGGAATCATTTTCAAGATGTAAACATTTTAAAAACCATGTAAGGAAGTTTTCTGAGTTTAATGAGGGTAGCTTTTTGGCAGATATGCTTTCTGACTTTTGAGTCTCTTATCAATTAAAGGGTCATGATAACTTCTATCTAACATTTGTTATTACTGTAGAGTTGTTTTATTAAAGGATTATAGTTATGTTAGATAAGGGTTTAATTCTACTTTTATTCCCTATGTCCATAGAAATTCTTTCTAAAATGGAATATAGATTTTAATATGATACATCAATTTGGAATTTATACCTCTGAAAAGTTGTGTTTTCTTAAGAAAATTGCATTATTGATTCTGTATTGATAATAGTTGATTTTTGTTTATGATAATTAACTTGATGAAGACTTGTATAATAAATGAATCTGATCCTGGAAAAAAGATTTTTAAAAAGGAGGGGTGGAGGGGAAGGAAAAAAAATTGAGATGTGTTATATACATATATCAATTCCCCACAATGAATTCAACAGTGACGTACTACAAACATGTATAGTGGACCCTTGAGTCACAGTGGGTGTCACATATGAACAATTTGGGATACAATCAAAATTTTAGGTTAACCTCGGACCGGACCAAAGTCTTGAATTACAACCCAAATGTGGGCTGCTGTGCGGCTGTAAGCAGAGACTCGTGATGCCGGAAAAGCCTGTGTAAGCGTACGTAAGCATCAGTCTGAGCCCAGGCGTGCATGTTTGTGGATGTGATTTTGCTCAGTGCTGTATAAAACTGCTGTGGTTACTGCTATCAGGATGGCCCCCAAAGAGCTAGAGAAGAAGCTGAGGAAGCAAGGGAAGGTAAAGGAAGCAATCACAGTTGGAAAGAAGACAGAAACTGGGGCAAATTATGAGAGTGGTGTTCGTGTGACCAGTCTTGCTAATATGATCAGCATTTTGAAACCCACCATCTTGACAGTCTTACACAGAGAAGATTTGTACAAGGAAGTGAGTGTTGCTAAAGTCATGATCAACAGTGTTAAATGAGGTAGAAGGGCTGCTGTTGGTGTCGATAAATGAAAGGAAGATGCCAGGTTATAGCCTGAGTGTATAATTTGTGAAAAAGCAAGGGCTATAAATGCAGATCTTATAAAGGATAATCCACCAATGAGTGATGATGGTGAAACATTTCATCCCAGTAAGGGTGGTTTCATAACTTTAAAGTGAAAACAGGGGCTTATTGTGTAACTAGGCATGGTGAAACTGCCGATGCTAATAAAAGGGCTGCTGAAAATTACAATATACCACTTTGAAATGATGACACAGAGAAATGGCTTTTGTCTCATCAAGTTTTCAGCTGTGATGAAATTGCCCATTTCTGGAAGAAAATGCCCGGGAAAGCATACATTACCCAGGAAGAGAAGAATATGCCGGGTCACAATCCTATGCAGGATAGGCTCATCTTATTGTTATGTGCCAATGCGAGTGGTAACCTCAAGATGAAGCCTCTCTTGGTTTACCACTCTGAGACCTCCAGAGTGTTCAGAAAACAAAATCATGAAGATTAGGCTGGGGTCAAATGCAAAATTGAATTCTAATGCAAAAGCTTGGGTAACACGAGTACTTTTTCTTGAGTGGATCAAGGAGGCTTTCTGTCCTACTATTAAGACATATCTAGAGGACAAAGACTTATGACTCAAGGCTTTCCTCATTATGGACAGTGCTCCTGCTCACCCATGAGATTTAAAAAAGTGGACAGAGCTACAAACATTTGTAGAGAAGAGCCCCCCCAGTCAGAGAAAAAGCCAGTTACTGCATTCACTTGCTTAATGACAGTGTCATGTCATTCTACAGGACAGTGTTAAAGAAAAGACAGAAACAGACAACCTTAGACCAATTTGTAGTTGTGAGAAGGCTGAGTACATAGTGAGCCAGAACGTCCTGGTAGGCTGCAGACTCTCTCGAGGAGAGGAAGGACCCCAGAGAGCCAGAGTGCTGATGTTCTTCTGGAAGGGGGCTCCCCTTCCAAACAGTAACCACCTTCCATTCCATCCTCCCTTCCTGCAAGCCAGAGACGTCCACTCGAATGGTGAGTGAGTATGAAATTGTTTCTGGTGAGCTGGGAACATTTTACAGCTTTTTGGTGAATACACTAGGAAAATTATTGGTGTTTCTGGTAGATTACATATATTATACCATGCTTTTTATTAAGAAAAGGTTAGTTAAGGGGTGCTTTGGGAGGTTTGGAACACATTATGAGTATTTACATTATTTATGGGAAAAATAGTCTTGACTTACAACCAACTTGAATTACAACCAGCCCTCACAAGTGAATTGAGTTCATAAGTCAAGGGTCCAATATACTAATAAACTTTTAAAAAATAATAATATTTAATGTTTTTTAGCTTTTTGGCACTTTTTAATAGCTATTGATGTTGTTTGTAATGCTTTAGTGTATATTCTGTTTACTGTAGAAACTATAAAAATAATTGACTTCCATAAATGTTGCATATTTTCCCATTTTCTTTCATGGGGTCACACAGTTTTGGGTTAGCCATTGGGACCCATTTTTAGCCATTGGGTCACACAGTTTTGGGTTAGCAAGTCTGAATTCTGCAGGGCAAGGTGGCAGAGTGGAGATCGAGGAAACAGTTCATGTTGCAGCATAAATCTTCAGGCACAGTGATGGTAGAACTGCTTTTGTCTCCCAGGATTATAGTCTTTTTCTTAAGCCTTTCAACTGATTGGGTTAAATTACTCACATTTAGGGCCTGGGGATTTAGCTCAGCGGCACAGCGCCTGCCTGGCAAGCGCAAGGTCGTGAGTTCGGTGTCCGGTACTGGAAAAAAACCAAAAATAACAAGAAAAAAAAAATTACTCACATTTATTTTGTATTTAAAACTTTTTATTAGTGCATATTAATTCATATTATTTGGAACATATTTATACATGCATATATATATTTTGATCATTTCCGTCTATTACCCCCATTTTTGTACCCCTCCCCATTTCTGTTCTCTAATAGCCTTCCTTATTTCATGTCACATCTGACTATTTTAACTTTAGTTTCCACCTATGGGAGGAAACAGATGATATTTGACTTTTTGAGTATGGCTTATTTCACTTAACACAGTGGTCCCCAGTTCCACCCATTTTCCTGCAATGACTTGGTTTTTACTCTTGTTTATGACCCTATAATGTTGCATTATATGTGTGTGTCTATCTGTATCTATCTGTCTATCAATCATCTGTATCTATGACCCTATAATGTTGCATTATATGTGTGTGTCTATCTGTATCTATCTATCAATCATCTGTATCTATCTAATTTTATTTATGCATTCATCTATTGATAGGTGTCTAAGGTAGTTCCATAGCTTAGGTATTGTGAATTGTGCTGCAGTGAGAATGCTAGTATCTCTATAGTATGCTGAGTTTAATTCTTTTGCTAATATACTGAGGAGTGATATAGCTGGATCAAATGGTAGCTCTATTTTACATCTTTGAAGAACATCCTTAGGAATTTCCATAATGGTTGACTAATTTATATTCCCACTAGCAATGTAGGTGAGTTCCTTTTTCTCTTTCATCCTCACCAGTGTTTTTTGGTATTCTTGATGATACTCATTCTAACTAGGGTGAGATGGAATTGCAATGAAGTTTGATTTGCACTTTCCTAATAGCTAAAGATGTTGAATATTTTTCATATGCTTATTTGCCATTTGTACTTCCTTTTTTAAGAAGTATGTGTTGAATTTATTTGCCCATTTAGTGATGTTATTTTTTTTGAGTTATTTATTTATTCTTGGTATTAATCTTTTTGTGGCACAGATAGGAAAGTTTTTTTCTCCAATCTGTAGGCAGGCTCTTCACTGTTGTTTCTTTTGCTAGGCAGAAGCTTTAAAATTTGTTATAATCCTGATTATATTTGTTGATTTTTACTGTTATTTTCTGTGCTGTTGGTATATTATTCAGGAAGTCTGTGCTGTGATTATAGCATCAAGGGTTTCCCCTATGTTCTCTTCTAAGAGTTTCAAACTTGTAAATCTTATATCTGAGTTTTGATCCATTGTGAATAGATTTTTTTTATTACCCCCATGTTAGAGATAGAAATCTAGTTTGAATTTTTCACATATGGATACTCAGTTTTCCCAGCACCATTTGTTGATCTGACTGTCTTTTTTTCAACATATGCTTTTGGCTCCTTTGTCAAGATTCAGATGGCTTTAGTTGCATGGATTTGTCTCTGTGTCCTGTATTCTATTCCATTGGATCACCTGTCTGTTTTTGTGCCTGTATGAGCCCGTTTTTGTTACTATGGCTTTGTAGTATATTTTGAAGCTGGGAATTGTGATACCACCAGCACTGCTCTTTTTGTTCAAGATTGCTTTGGCTATTTTGCACTGTAAATTTCTGTATCATTTTTTTCTAGTTTTGTGAATAATATCATTGGACTTTTGGTGGGGATTGCAGTGAATCTGTGGATTACCTTTGGTAATGAGGCCATTTTAACAAATGGCCTGATCTGTGAGCATGGGAGTGTTTCTATCTTTTAGTGTTTCCTTTGAATTCTTTTTTCA